AGAGGAGAGAGGAGAGAGCGAGAGAGAGAGAGAGAGAGAGGAGAGAGAGAGAGAGAGAGCGCTCTCAATGGCGGCCTGTGGTCGATAATGTCCGTTACGCTACCGGCGGCATTTGCCGACATCAAGCAGTGTTGCACGCCAGCAAATCATCTCTCAATGTGTACTCAGCAATGAAGGTCGTGCGACACCAGATCGAAACGCTTCGACTGAACATGGAGCTGACTTGGCTGGGCTTCCTGACCATGACACGAAAACTGAATGCAGCGTAAACGGCAGTCAAGCCCTTAGGCCCGTGTCGACATGTCCGCGACTGGCGCTGAAAGGAAGAAAGGTGTTTTCGGAGCTGACCCAGCCATGCCATGTGAGAATATTGACGCAATCAGTTGACGTGTCGACCCGAGTCTGTGAAAGAATGACCTTTCAGCTGTGACTGCGATGTCGATAACAATTTCACAGTTACCACTGCGGTGCCAGCAGCAGTAGCCATTCATCTGAACTATTGACCATCGTTATTTTGGAACCATCGACACAATCAGCTGACATGTCTGCCCGAGTCTGTAAAAGAATGGCCTTTCAACTGTAACTGCTGTGTCGATAACAACATTGGACTTACCATTACAATGTCAGCAACAGTATCCATTCATATATCCGAGCATATGTTCCGCTGTGTAAGCGTCTTCCTTCTTTCCCAAGAAAAGTTTAGCCACGTCCACAGACCCACTGGTAGCACTCATTGAATTCAACACAGACCAGCGTTTGCCGTTGTCGTCCGTTTATCAACATCGACAGCTCAGTCACCGCTCCAGTACCGCAGCTCCCCATTTATCCCCATTTATCGCCAGCTGCCAGTGCCGTGGTGTCGAAACTTTGCATCTCTATTTCCGCCCACCCGTGGACCGCGTGTCACAAAGGGGCCCTGCACGCACGCTGATTGGCTGCTGAACACCGCTCCTGAACACTCCCCGCTCACGCTCACATCCGGGACCATGCCGTGCGACCGTCTCACGCTCACATACAAGACTGCTCCGTGCGACCGTCTCACGCTCACATCCAGGACCGTTCCGTGCGGCCGTCTCACACTCACATCCAGGACCGCTCCGTGCGGCCGTCTCACGCTCACATCCAGGACTGCTCCGTGCGGCCGTCTCACGCTCACATACAAGACCGCTTCGTGCGACCGTCTCACCCTTACATCCAGGACCGCCCCGTGCGGCCGTCCTCACACTCACATCCAGGACCGTTCTGTGCGGCCGTCTCACACTGACATCCAGGACCGTTCCGTGCGGCCGCCTCACACTCACATCTCAGGACCGCTCCGTGCGGCCGTCTCACCCTTACATCTAGGACCGCTCCTTGCGACCGTCTCACACTGACATCCAGGACCGTTCCGTGCGGCCGTCTCACACTTACATCCAGGACCGTTCCGTGCGACCGTCTCACACTCACATCCAGGACCGCTCCGCGCGGCCGTCTCACCCTTACATCTAGGACCGCTCCGTGCGACCGTCTCACCCTTACATCCAGGACCGCTCCGCGCGGCCGTCTCACCCTTACATCCAGGACCGCTCCGTGCGACCGTCTCACCCTTACATCCAGGACCGCTCCGCGCGGCCGTCTCACCCTTACATCCAGGACCGTTCCGTGCGGCCGTCTCACGCTCACGCACAGGACCGTTCCGTGCGGCCGTCTCACCCTGACATCCTGGACTGTTTCACCCCCACTGGTCCCACAGAAGACTGACTCCCTTGGGCTGTACGACAGCCTGCCGCCGATAGGATGCGTATAGGAGGGTCATGCAGTTGACGCGGGCCTGGTCAGGAACCGGTACATTTTAACCTTCAACCTGCGTTAGAGGAAATATTCTACGTTTGAGGATATTAAGGCGAGCATCAAATATGACATTAATTTCACTTATAGCTATAGGCATACCTTTAAGGGGAAAAGACTGCTTTAGACATCGCAACTTCTCTTTTTAGTAAATGTTCTCCTCAATATGGCATTGCTTGATTGCGCCATCGTCCCTGTACAATATTGATTGAGAGCCAATTGACCGCCGTTATAGCAGCAAATCGTGCTCACGAACGCCAGATGTGAACGACTGGATAACTATATTTCATTAGCCCTGTTTGCCGCATGACCAATGAAATGGCGTAATTGAATGGCGTTATTATAGCGTCATAGATGTCTGAGTGACCCTGAAATAGTCTGTATGAAAAAGTCTGCACATCTTCGCGGGCGTCTAGTTCAGAAACTAGAAACTGGAGGGCCTTAGGCTTTAAGAAGGGCAAGGCTGTGAACTGCACCGAATGATCTTCAAGGTGTCTATTTCAGTGAAACATCCCTTAAAAATGTGGAACACTCCCGTAAAGCGACATTTGGACGATAATCCAATACGCATCAGAAACGCATCAGTGAGAGCGTCAGTTTGGTGTATCGCTCCATGAATCATCCTGACGTCTACAATATCGACCTTAACTGATTCCGTCATATCGCGGCGGGGCAGGCTATCAGCATGTTTGCATAGTCTTTGCCGATAAGACGTTCCCGGACGGCGGTGATATGTGATTATAGCATCCGCACTTGACACTTAATAGCCCGAGGGTGTGTACAAGCAGGGAGTGGGACGGTGGGTGGAGTTGCTTCAAGCATGTATGCTCGAAACCAGTTGGCTTCGTGGCCTTAAGCGTGTAATGATGGTTTGTTACGCGTATGTTGCAAAGATTTGATGCATGTAGGGAAAGCGCAGTGTGTGTGCGCTTTTGTACCTATATGCGTGCATTATAGATATCAAAGGCTTCCAATAAAAACCAAAGGGGCTTAAGTTCGTGCCGAGCAGCAGTACTCAGACGCCCAATAAATAGAAGCCACGTAACTACGTGTACTGGTTCAATACAAGTTATATCAGCTAAACTGGATGATGACCTGCGAGGTAAACGACTGGGGATAAATCCGACGGGACCTTGGGCAGGGGAAAATACAATTAACTGATCTAACTAGTCAGAAAGCATATGCACCTTCGCGTGATTTATTTTCATGGAGCGTTTCATGCTAGACCGTGAATGCACCCACACCTAATCAACTGAAATTATATCTGATGATGATTTATTGGAAGAAAATGGTTAATCATCGTTGGCATTGGTAGGTGTATTTGATCAATTTAAATAAAAAATGTGCGCACAATTGTAAGGTTATATGCGCGGAAAACACTTAATTATATTAGGCGTTCCTAAAAGGCTCATCAGAAATAACAGGAAGTGGGAAATGCGGAAGTGATAAATTTATCACGAAGACAAACCATGCCAAAAATGCTTTGCTAGGTAATACCGTAAGGGTCATTATTCGCTCAAATGTCAGGTCCTTTATTTGCGTAAACCGTATGATGTAATTCATGTTCCACTTGTGGTCAGTGGCGGCCGTTTAGTTAACGTCTAAGTTTTGATTTTTTTCTTATCAAATCCACGTCAGTGACGGTCGCCCTCTATGCATTGTCGATTTCAAGGAATAGTTCATGGCTAGAGTTTGCGCTTTGAAATCTGTCTTCTAGATAAACTACCTTTGTATTAAAACATCACGCAGTCGACGCCACAATGGTCCTTAGTTTGCAAAGTTGTTGGCTTAAGTGAACTAAATACCTTATCAGTCCCGTACCACTTATGGGATTATGGACAGAAAATAGCCTGATAAGATGCGAATACTGTTCAGACCTATAGGTTTGACTAACTGACTTACAAATACTGTTAACCGCACGTGGCGCCAATGTGAAAATATGCTGCCGCATATGATAAAAGAAACGGCCTGGTCATGTTTGAAAGAAAACAGTTGCGCCTAACTAAAAAATAACTTAAGATGATGTCACAGAACATGTAATTTCTGTCTTCAATGTCGAGAGCAAATGTGGTCATAGAACTTCAAACTTCAGTTAAGTCCGCTAGAACTGCGTCAACACGCCAAAGTGAGCAGACCTTAACACATCTGCCGGCATTTTAGTGTCGGGCGCAGACGTAGTAATCACGGGCATCACCGCCGGCCGTGGGGTCGCATTGGCAGAGGTGATGCCTGAAGACTGACATGGACCCGCCGTGGGATGCCAGAATGAATTTTTGTCCATATCACGGATGTTCGAAAGATTCGGCCATGGAGTAATACGCCCAAACTGACGCGCTCACTTGATACGCTGCCTATGCGTGCTGAATTGTTGTCCAATTCGTATTTTATGCACGCTGGAGACCACATTGCGCCGGATCCTAGTCATGATTAATGCAGCTGCATACCCCCTTACATCCTGCAACTCAAGCCGGTCGGTCGGCGATGATTTCGTCGTTAGGGTCGGCTACGTCGTCAGTGGCCCTGGTAGTATACGAGATGACTGTAGCAGAAGATCTCGGCGCGTGAAAGGGAAAAGGGCACTACACCATTGTCTTGACTCGCGTTGCTGTCGCCTTATGATATAAAGCGGCGGACGAACAATTTATTGCTTCTAAAACGCGTAAAATGGTGTCTCGAAGCGGTTGTCATGCACGTCGACAGTCATTTTACCGTTTTTGAGTAGTCATTTCGTCATCTCTCAACGGTCCGTGGCATTCGCTTGCCGAGATGAGGTAACCTATTTGTGATAGTTTGCGCCGCATGTGACGCGACCTATCAGCTTCCGAAGGTCAACTTTTACGATTAGTCCTTTGGCTGTTCGCGCTGATTCTGTGGCACGTCTTGTTAGCTGCAACCCCACTCGCGTTCCTCACGCGCGCAGCGCTTACCTGCCCGCTGGGACCAGCCGACCCCGATCGACCTACTGACCTCTGCTGCCCTGCTGCGCTGTCGGCCGACCCGGATAGAGGTGTGCGAAAGGGCGGCGCCAGCCCGGTGAGCACGGCGGCGAGGACGGCAGCGGCCAGCAGGGAGCCCGGCCTCGCAGACTTTGGCGCCAGTCTGGCTTCGCCTCAGCACGCCGCGCGTCCGAGCAGAACGGCGGCCTGGACTGAGCATGCTTGGCGTGCCTCCAGGATCGGTGACACGTTCGAGGAGATCGAGCGGAAGGCGCACGAGCCTCCGGAGGACACCGCCGCCATGATCGTGCTCGCCGAATACATGACCAAGGCCATGGGCGTCACCCTGCCCCTGCTCAGGTCAGTGTGCCACCGAAGCCAGGAGCCAGGATGTCACTCGCCACTAAGCCAGGCCATTAGGCGATGACAGCCGTAGGCTTCGTCCTTCACCTCAAGTAAATGCGCGGCCAAAGCCATGGGCACCACCCTCCCAAGCCTCAGTTTAACCTGAATGTGCCGTCCTCCCGACTGTCGTCCTACCTGAGTCGGACAGGCGTTGTCCTAGTGGATGGGTCCGTTTGAAACGGCCGCTCCGAAGCGTGCAGCAGCGCTGAGACGGGCTGCAATTCCTGCGCCATCTGGCCGGAGCTTGCGGCGGGGCGGGCCTGACCTGACCTGACCTGACCTGACCTGACCTGACCTGACCTTACCCGCGGGCCAGAGCCGACCTGGCGCGCCGACGGCTCGGCTGGTGAGTGACAGCTTCTATGCCCCGCCCGCAGAGAGAAGGTCAAGGAGAGCGTAGATCGGATGCTGTACCTGCTGGAATGCGTCGAGTTCACGCCTGAAGACATCGATGTCAATACGTGCACGGCCCTCTGGATCGACCGGATCCGGCCCACGTTCGACCACAGTGCCGAGGTCAGGAGGCCCGCTGTGGTGGCCGCCGTCCTATCCTACAGCCAGCCGTCCGCACGCTGCGTTTTCAAAGAGTGTGCGGCGGTGTTCGTAATGGTGTAGTTTTTCGCACACTTACATGAAATGGCATCGCCCGATTTTCATCCGATGCGTCGGACGCGCGTGTCATGCGTTACGTCCGGGAACAAAACGCGTGGCAAGTTGGGCCACCAAAGCCTTGCTCATCATTTCGCTGGATAGATTGACCACCGCTGACACAGGCCGGTCGAAGCCTTTGCAGCTGGATACACATGCTGTCGCTGTATTCGTTCCGTCTCACTTTGCTCGCTGCGTTTTGCTGTGACCTGCTGTGTCGGACCCGTGTCTTGTGACCTCCATGTGACCTCGGCACTGGCTCAGGTCATCGAGGAATGCAAGCAGAAGTTCGAGGACGCCCTGACGGAGCGGACGGAGGGGCTCGTCTCGGACTTGGAGAAACTCAAGAACCGCGTGCGTGAGCTGGACGACCTGGGCGACGCCAACAACATGCCTGTCTACGTGTCGGACATGCGTGCTCTTCGACGCAAACTCACAGACCTGGAGACCGTCGTCGAATGGATCAACGAGCAGGAGGCGCTCTTCAAGTTCCCGCAATCCACCTACCCGGAGATCCACCAGCTGCAGGTGAGGACGCGCGGCCGGCGGCCGTTGGTCCGGGCCTAACCGGTCCGGTCTGCATGGGCCTCAGGAATGGCCGATCTCAGGCTGACGGGAGGGGCGAGGCTCAAGCTGGCCAGCAAACTGGGAAATGTCGTGGAGCCCTCACTGGCCTCGGCTGTTCCGCCGTGTTGAAAGCGTACTGGAAGTTATCTGTTGGTCTATGAGACATTTTCTTGAAATGACATCGTGCCTGCGGGCTTTATTTAGCACGACATGGGCACAATGTTGAAGACTTACCAACATTACGTGGACATTTCCAAGACCTGAGCCGAAGAGACATTGGTATCGGGTAAGGATAACCACTCCTTCGACATGCCAACTGATTTCGTTAATGATATATCAGCCGCTATACATAAATCGATGTAGGCGCTAACATTTTACGTGATACTACATCGGCTGGGCGGCGACCTGTGAGCATGTCGCGCACAGTTAGACTCATTACGTATCTGTGACACCTTCAGAGATAATAAGAAGGGGTCGTCGCGATTTCATGATAAATGCTACGTTTCTGTTCCAAGAAGACCGTGCGCTGCCTTTACCAAAGCGTGGTATACGAACAGCAATCGTGGGAGCCACACCATCACTGTCTTCGCGAGCGTTCGCGAAGACAGCAAACCTCACCATCGCGGTGCGAGCGGTATCGCTACAAGCGCTTACAAACAGCCGTGTTGGGAACATTTGCCCTCATGAACTTTTGCACTGACGAACATAGGCAACTACGGGAAAATGAGCATGAACGGGGGCATTGGGAACATCTGAACTTCGCCACTTTTGCAACCTAATTTAATTTGCACGTACGGACATTTGCACTTACGGAAATTTTCATACGATCATTTGCTTGGGGACATGTGTAAAAACATCTGATTCACCATGCTTGGCAGCAAGACAGCCGCGCAATCTTACCGTGCCTGCGTCCCTACATGATGTAATTGTTCCTTTACGCATGCACACACGCGTGCTTACAGGAACAATTGTTTTGAACATACGCTTTGCGCACCCAGTGATTCACTGCTCTATAAAGTGGAGTACATCGTTGTTGCTGAACAGAGAGTGGTGATTGTGAGCGCGCACAGCATTGTTATATAGCGAAATGTCAGTTCGGCTCTATTATCGCCGGTATAACGCGTTGCATCTCAAGGTTTGGTTCGGAGTTCCGACCAGCATCTGTCATTTTTGTTTGTACAATGTGCCAAGTTGTCTGCCAGCGCATGATGATTCAGAAGTGTTGTTTGATCGTGGTGATTTACGATACGACCCTGCCAGCCATGGCGTGGAGGGGCGAGTCGTAGTGAGGCCCCCTGCATCAACGCCACACCACGTTCATGCCACAGGTGGCGTATTGGCCCGTTGGTTAGTGTGTCGGACTCCGACCTGGGGACATGGTCCGAGTTCCGGCTGCGCCATGGTCCCTGAACGCTTATATGGCAAATGCTGGCGCTGGTGCCCCATGAAGGGGCGTTGCGGTGTACGTCACATTCTTATGAAAAAACGCCACACCACACCACACCCACTTTTCAAGGCTGCAGGCGAGCAATGTGAAGAGCCCCCTCCCCTTTGAATTCACTGGCGTTAAGCTTACTTTTTATCTAGAATATGCAATATGTTTGACAATTTACGCAATTCACCAGCATCCTCCTCAATGCGTGCCGAATTAGTGTTTGATAGGTTGGGCCCTAAGTGGTGCTCGAAATTTGTGTACTTTGCAAATTTTGAGGTACTACGGACCATGTAATTAATTTCCAATGTTTCACCAGCCTGCATCCCATACGTTTTAAAATGTTCCTTTGCCTATACTGTCAGAACCGGGCATCGTAATCCATCAGCTGCTAAATCGTGCAAATTCGTCGCGACGCGTGACTCTGGCGTCTCGTCATTTTTCCGCCATGTGCATATGTCACTGGGTAACCTCGACTGGATGTTTTTCCAAGACGTTGAGTTTTCATAATGCACTGAGATTTTATGTTGATTCATTGCACACAATGCTGCATGCAATGCTATAGTCTGAAAATATGGCGAAGGGATAGATCTCCAAACATGCGAGAAACGTTACCTAATTGTCACCACTTTTAGCCATGCATGGTTTCTACTCACGCGCCTGTTTTATTGTTATTACAATGTCATACATGCTTGTACGCACCTGAACATCACGTGGAATGCGTGCCTCAGTGAGTGTGTACACCTATTCCTGTGACGCGGAAATGCTGCAGCGTGCTATCCGTATCCCGGACAGTGCTGAGCCCTTCATATTACGTTGACATGCCAATCATCCCGGCAATGAGTTGGCAGCGTGCTCGCATAGTACCCTGTCTCTACGGACTGTTCGGACAGTCAGTCCCGAGATCGCAGCTGTCCAGGCGGTCGAGTTTGGGCACCAATCAGCACAAAACTGCCGTCGCGGCGTGTCCAGACCGCTGGCGGCGGATCGCGACCGGCGCCGGCTGGCCCACGCCCCGATCGACCGGCGCGCAGCCCGCCGGCGGTCCACGGCCGGACGGGACGCGTCTGTCGGGGCTCACGGGGCGCGCCGTCCGACCTGTGCCCCGCCCGCTCCAGGCTGCCATCTCCATCCGTGATCCATCTCGGGTGACGTGTCAGAATGTGTCCCTGGTCTGCTAATATGTGCTCCTGGTCTGCCCTCTGTGTGCCCCAGGTGGGGCCCGCAGCCAGCAGCAGGGGAGGCTTGGACGCCGCCGGCGCGGATGGCGCGTGCTCGCCGTGCGTTGTTGGCCCGCGAGGTCCCTGTTCACGGCACAGCTGGCCTACGGATCCATAAAATGGAGTGCCAAGTCGGGTGGAAATGGTTACTGTTCTTATCAGCGGCGTGTAGGTCAGCTCTAGCGACCTTTTGCCTTTCTGTAGTTGTATGTTAGGAAGTTTGTATGCGCGTATCATTTTCACTCAGTAGTAAAATGAAGAAAAGTTGACATTTTTAAGGTAAATGGGCGCACCTTGTGGCACGTTTGTGAAACGTTTGACCGTTTTTAATTTTTTAAACTAATATTTTGCATCGAATAGCTTACACTGCTGGCACGGCAGCCTACCCCAGTATGTCATGCCCACTCACGGGGCATCAGACCAGATGCAGCTGTTATCAGATCAGTAGATCTGGTAATCCGGGCAGTTCCAGCCGAAGCGGGATACCCCGTGTTCCACGCGTCCAACTTATCGGCTTCTCCTGGGAGCCCCAGCACCCGGATCATCGGGCTGACGGGCCGGTCAGGGGGCTGGTCCCGGGGCTGGTCCTAGTCCGTGTGTGAGCAGTGCTAGCCATGTACGAGCGCCTGCTCGGGATAGGCGGCAATCGTTCGTGGTTTTTCTCCTGGACTTATTTGTCACGATTATGTCTAATTTGTGGGTTTTCTAGGCACAGCTGCGCGAATGTAAAACATGCGTGAACACGAATTTACAGATGGCATCGCCTGAAAGCTGGTCGACTTTGCGTCCGGCAGGGATTGAACATGCCAATCGACGATATCGGGCATTTTGGAATCACTCATGCATTGGAGAATGTGATCAGGTCATTGCAGAAATGCAAATATTTCGGCTGGATATTGATGGTGTGTTAACGTTGAATAACATCATGGCGCTATGAGTGCCTGGGCGACCTTGGAATAGTCTCCCCAAAACAGCTTCCACATCTTCGCGGGCGTGCAACTCAGAAACTAGACGAGAGTAGGCCTTAAAAGGGCCAGAGCTGTGAGCTGCACCAAATGCTCTTCATGATGGCCATTTTATTACAAAATCCCATACAAGTGGGGAGCACTCCCTTTACGAGAAGCTCGACCTAAGGCCCCACTCGCAATGACCTAGCAAAAATTAATAGTAAATGCGCAATGCGTACCGCCTTTTCGCTCGCCACTGCAGTAGAAATACGTGGGAGCGTAGATGGAAACACTGCTTCCGGGGGGTTAAGCGGCAGCCATATGGTGACGCATAAACTAGTTTGACCTGAAAGGTTCCCTTGGAGACCTGGTTATAGCTCAGTTCCTGCAGCATTTGTTAGTGTTACACATGACCACCTTACATTACATGTCGTGCAACTGTAACAGCTGTTGATAACCACCACATTGCGGATATCATGACTCAGTGGCCTAGAGCAGATTTCGGTTGTTTTTGACGTCGAGTTCCCCACCTTCTGACACGTCCGCACACCCCTGTTGCCGCAGTGCAGACGTTGGAGTAGCTGTTTTGGCCAGCAAGGCCGTGGACTCACGGCTGCCTCGCCGTTAGCCGTGAAGGTATCAACGCTGCATGGTTTCCAGCTTATCACTAGTTGGCCACGAAGATGTTGAAAAGGGGATATTTTGGATGCGAAAAAGGGGATATTTTGGATGCAAATTTCCTCCAGTTGTTTTGCTTAGCATTGCAAGATCCAGTTCCTGGAGCTGCATCGAATCATATGAATGAGAGTATTTCCGAAAAATAGCGCTTAAGCCTTTTTGTCTTTGGACGTCATCTATGGAAAGGCTACCTCGCGCAACAATAGCAAAAGCTGCAGCAATTGGGTTATGATTGGGTCCTCAAACAGGACCCAAACAGAACAAGTTTCCCAGCTGACGACTCACTGCAAATTTATTTGCAGTTTGTTTTGTCAGCGAGGACATGCTGAGATTGACCGCGGAAACCAGAGGTCGTTTTGAGTCGGCGGGGGGTGCGCTGGTGCGTCTGTACGGGGCCACCCGCTCGTGGCGTCATCAGCAGACGGCATCGGCCGTCATCAGCAGACGGCATCGGCGGCGTCTGACTCTCAGCCTCGGGTTCGCGGACGTTCTTTGTCGTCTCCGAGGTCCCGAATCGGACACCGGCCGCGGCCTGCGGTCGATTGCGTGCTGGTCACGTGGTGTCTGGCTGTCTGGCTCGACGCCGCCCGACATCCTGTCAGGCCTCGCAGTTGAGGCCAACTGCGTCCGCAGAGGGCGACCCACGTGCATTCAGAAGCTCGGTGTAGCTTGAGTCGGATGGCGTGGAGCTCACGTGCTTAAGACCGTTGTGGTCCTTTGTCAGGACAGCGCGTAGCAACTGAACTAAACTCAGATGACACCTGTGAAGCCGAGAAATACTGGTATGTCTTGGATTCAAAATACGGTGGAAAACTGTAGGAAGAGCTTCTGAGCTGTGTTCATCCAAGACATCAAGGATAAATAGCCACAGCCCACCGCCTGCCAGCCGCTCGCTAGTCTGCGCCGTGAGAGGGACGCGAGACCGTGCCAGTCCCCACTGCAAGTCCCAGCCGCATCTGTCCTTGGCTCGCTGGCCCTCCTGACCTGCTCTGTACGTGACCACCTGTCACCTTCCCAGCTGTTCTGGGGGCTCCTGAGGTGGTGCCCACTCAGCCTGGCTGACGTCGGCCGCTCCTGAGTCAGGGTTAGCTCTGGGGTCAACCCGCACGACACGGCGAACCGCCGCCACCAGCTGGCCGGTCATCAGCGCCCAATGGCTCTGATAACGACAGCACGGTGGACGGCGCCATTTCGCGGGTGGGGGGAGGGGGGGGGAGGTAGAGGCAGAGGCAGAGACAGAGGCGGAGGCGAGGCCATCGCGGCAGATGTGTGTGATCTGCGCGCTCCCAGCAAACACATATACCGCCCCCCCCCCCCCCCCGTCTATGGGGAGGGGTAGACGCCGATCGACCGCGTGCGTCGGCTGCCGGTGCGGCTGAACACACAGGCCCGGCCATGTCAGGCGATCAGGGGCTGCCTGGTCGGTGATAATAGGGTGAGAACCGCGGACTGCAGACCTCACTCCAGTCAGGGGTGCCTGACCGGTGACAATGGGGTCGGAGGCATGGATTGCAAACCTTACTTCAGTCACAACCTTAGCAGTCAAGTACTCCACACTTGCCTGATTCCTGTCACTAGCACCGCTTTAGAACTAGAATTCGTTAGGATCATTGCGAGGTGGATTACAGCAATCTTCACCATTGACTGTCGTCTTTCCTGTCTGGGCCTGCATCATAGGCTAGTGATCACTCGTCAAGATGTGTAAGTTGATAATCGTCAGCGTGAAGTACGTGTGAAAGTCCTTTGACGTTTCCGCTTTATCAGTTGGTTAGAACCTTCCGGTTTACCTATCCTTGGCGGTGTGGGTTGGCGTTACTATGAGTTGAGTCGACTTCACTGAATTTCGTTATATTATTTCAGCCCGAGTCACTTGAGCGCTCGATTCCTGTTGCTGTCTGAAACGGCCTGTGGCCGGTGGCAGCGGCAGTGCTAAATGTGTCGTGACTTCAGAGGGAACGACGGACCGTGCCGAGCACTATGGCACATCCAAGCTCTATATATTACGGCATTATTGCGCGTCATAAAAGTCTGCCGTTGAGCTGGAATTTCACGATTGGGTGGCGCGGCCAGGGCTCACGCATACCAGCCCTGCGCCAGACCCACGCGCAATCGGGTGCCAGTGATCCATCCAGTCACAAAGTTTGAACCAAATCTGAAATGAGCTGGTTTGTGGCATAAATAAACGAAAAGCTCTCCGCTTGGAATTGGTGGGCTTATTTCCGCCTATCTATGTCGTACATGCCCGAAACAGTCGTGAACCCAGTGTTCTGACGGATGTGTGGCTTGAAATTAGTTCAGAGTTCACTGAATCTCCAGATAGCGCGCTTCACGGACCAATGGTGCGACTCTGAGTTAACTTTCTGTTCCTCGTAAAACACGTGTAATTAGATTTGTGTGATGCATAGCATCACGTTAATATAATGGGCAGAGTCGCACGTTGCATCTCTCCCTGATATGCTCGCACCGTCCGACCCCCATCCCCACCCCTCCCTTCTCGCCCGCAGACGTCCATCGACCCCTTCGCCAACCTGTTCACCACGACGATGCGGTGGCAGAAGACTCTCAAGAAGTGGATGGATGGCGCCTTCCTGGAGCTGGACGGCGAGAGCGTCGAGGCTGACACGGAGGAATTCTCCAGGTGGACTGACAGCTGAGGATCGCTTATAAAACTGTCCGCTGCACGGCCTATTGCTCGACACCAGCCGTTGTGATCGCTTCATTTTGGAACACACGGGTCCAGCTGGAGCCATTGCTAGACGTTTTAGGCGGTTCAGTGGCCGTTTGTCACCACACCAAAGCCACCATGCGCCGGCCGACTGAGTCCCCATTGCGCCGCCGCCGCCCGGTGGGGCTTCCAACAGTGCCGTTCACCCAGGCTTGCGAAGCGAACAAATCCCGGCGATGTATCGTAGGGCTCCGCTTTATCCGCTCTTGAGAGCAATTTGTTCTTAGTGTCCGCTCTAGTGGACGACTAGTCCGCGTGCTCTGGCGGAGCGGACGCCGCCCGAGGCGCTGACCGTCCCACTGCGCGCCGCCAGGGACATGTACAAGCTGCAAAAGGTGATCAAGTCGCGCTTCAAGCAGCAGGTGATTGACACGTCGAGCCGCGCGCGCGAGGAGGGCCGGCCGCGCATCAACGTGGACGACCCCAACCCGGATAACCTGCCCGGCCCGCTGCGCATCTGCTTCAAGACCATCGAGCAGATCGACGCGTTCAAGGTAGGCCGTGACTGGCGGCGGCGGGCAACAGAGCGGCGCTGAAGCTGTCGACGGCGCTGAGGTGACTCGGATGGATGGGTGGGGGGGGGGGGGGGGGAGGGGAGGCGTGCCTGAGGCGGCTGAGAGAGACAGAGGGGTCACAGGAGCGACAGCCAGCCGGAGGGCTGTAGTGGAATAATACGCCCCAACTTTTCGTGGAACGTTTGGGGCGTATCAACATGCTGGCGTGTGTTTTATTTGCGTTCCCTGGGGATCTTGTCGTTTGTCTTTGACCTGGCGGCGGTGGGGCGACAGAGCGGCGCTGAAGCTGTCGACGGCGCTGAGGTGACTCGGACGGACGGGTGGGGGGGGGGGGGGGGGAGGGGGAGGCGTACCTGAGGCGGCTGAGAGAGGCAGAGGCGTCACAGGAGCGACAGCCGGCCGAAGGGCTGTAGTGGAATAATGCGCCCCAACTGTTCGTGGAACGTTGGGGCGTATGAACATGCTGGTCGCGTGTTTTATTCGCGTTCCCTGAGGATCGTGTCGTTTGTCTTTGACCGTGACCCACCGCATCAGCGCATCACTAGTGTCTTCTTATCTGTCCATGCGAGATTTCGTTCAAGTGTGGACGTATCCAATACGACATGACACTTCTCTGGTACTCCAGCCTTCAGGGCTTCACGTGCAAGGCTGGTGTATCCGATCATCCCGGAACTATGGGGCTGGGTTCTTGTCCATTCGTGACCCATTCATCGTAACATGTGCCCACCCAGTACCCATCCCTGGGCATTTTGCAGCAACTTATATATAACAGCTATAAATGGTAGAAGAGTTTCACGAAATTTTACATCCAAAGCCACTGTCTTCCGTTCATAATTTCAGAAGTGGCGTGAATGGAGCTTATCATGACTAATAGGACCGCAAACGGCAACATGATGCAGTATTTCTCGCATCAGTTACCGGCCATCAGTAATCTAGTCTTTCGGCATTACGAATTGGTAGTTTTAATGCTGCAAATACCAGCTTCGGTACACTTGGCGGCTCTTAGAGGAAGCATCAAGTAACGCTGGTAATACAACCAGTGTTAGTTTGATAATGTCATCCTCGATAGTTTGATAACGTGATTATACCAAAACATAGTGGTAAAAATGGGAGTCGAAGTTTTGAAGCTGCACTTGAAAACTGGACACGTGAAGTGCAGAAAAACGCGGAACCTGTGTAGACATTGTCATTACAACGATATCATAATCATCAACATTTCCAGCTTCCACGGCCAACATCCGATATACGGTGCTGCGCAAAGGGCTGCACGAAACAGAGGTGGGTAAGCCGGAGGATTACGATGACCCAAACGCTAAATCACCTACCACGGCCATCAGATATCAAGAATATTGCGCGAACATTCCGAACATTCCGGCCGTTCAGTCACTCATTTCCTGACACCCAATGCACGATACTCTGCTAAGGGCCGCTCAAAACGCAGGCGGCTAAGCCGGGAGGTTTCTATGACACGTATCGGCCATATGGATAGAGGGAAACGTACCAGCGGGCGTCAGTACTCATCACGGCTATGCGTCTATTTCTAACGTGAGTGACCTATGAGCAGCTTTGCTCAAAGCAAGCCTCAAGACCACATCCGCCTGCTCACCTTCCGACGAAGGTTACGGATGCGCGGCGATTACATGCTCTTGTGATCTGTGTTGTCTTTGCTGTTGCTAAAACTTATTATTGAAAGTTGGTGTTTGTTGGGCCTTGTTCCATTGCTACGCATAATCTTCTTTGCGTTCCCGCAGTAATCAAGTTGAGGTCGAAGTCGACTGTTTTTGAGGTCACTATCACGCAAATTCAACGAAACGCCATGCTTTGGTCTGATTTCTCTGCTATGGCGCTTAGCACAACTCTTTTCGAACATCACTTTGACATTGGGAAACATAATGTGCTTGGACGCTCAGTTTGTGTGTGAGACTGGCTAAACAACTGAGTGTCAGCGATGTATCACGTGGTCTAGTGACACATGTGTCTGCCACTAATATGCACAGTGTGGCATACCCATTTTAAGGTTGTGTGGACTAGCCCACGTTCTCGCTAGCTGACTCCGTGTAAACCGCTTGATCGCACGGAAGCATTTGCCTGTTCATACAGCTCGTCATCTACAAACGAGAGTTTCACATAAAGTTACATCGTTTGTTGGTGTCACGTGTCTACCGCCCCTTCGCGAACTTCATGTAACACTAAATCGAGAACATGCAGCACGGGCGACGAGCGCCACTCGGTGGGCAAGCGCAGGGCGGGGTCAAAGGATCAAGGTGATTCGTGGAGCCAGGCAGGTCGTTAAGCTCTCTCAATATAACCTATGCCTGCTGGGTAACGTCGGTTAGCGAGTGTCTCTTGGGATACTGGAGGTCGATTATTCTAAGCTTCAGAAGCCTCAATGAATAATGTTCCAGCATCCTCTGGCCAGTACAAAGTGCATATTCGGCGTCAGTTGTCTCCCCCAACGCATGTCTGCTGTATGCCCGTAGTTACATCGGAATGCATTGTGGTTGTTGTTGAGGAGCTTAGGCTGTAGCATTTTAGCCGAACGCATATAATGTTGACGTTCCATTTGGGCTCCGTTCCGCATCTGCGTACTAACGAGGTTGTGTGTGCTGCTTCGATGCGTTTTTCTTTCAGTTTACGTCTGCTCGTGAAACTCAAACCAGCGTGTGACGCAAAGAATTCAGCCACTTTCCAGTTACAGTGACAACCAGG